TGTTTATGGGTCAAGGAGCCCAAATGACAATTGAACAGAGGGGTCCCTCCACTGGTCACAAAAGCTTACCTGTATTTTGGCAATTGGTCTGGATGGGAAGAAAGTCACACCTCTTATCATCACTTAACAGCAAGAAAGATAAGATTGAACGTGTTTCCAACATTTATGTTCTTGAAACTGAAAAAGCCTGGTGCACACAAGCAGTTATAAGGAAGTGGCTTGATTTAATCCTGCCACTTGTTTTTGCGAGATGGCCAAAGAGGTCTGCTAGTCTGGGATTCAGCACTCACCATGCTAAAAACATGAAGAACTCCCTTGCAGTGAGTAGAATAGATCAAATAATGATTCCTGCAGGAATGACTGCCTATCTGCAGATTCTTGATATTGCAATAAACAAGCCATTCAAAGACCATTTATGCATGGAAATTAATGACTACATTGAAAATAGAACGACAAGAGATCAGCGTGGAAACTTTGAGAAGCGTAGCCTGCAAGAGGTTGTGATTTGGGTGAAGAATTCATGGGATAAAATCACTGACAGTGTTATTACCAATGCACTCCAAGCAGGTTACATGGATAAGAGCTGCTCATTTAATGAGTGCTCTATTGCTCGACATGAGAGATTGGGGCCAATGGTTCTAAAGGAAATAGAGTCGCAAGAAATTCAGGATGAATTCAGGGTTTGGAGAGTTATGATGATGTTCCAGAAAAGGACGACTTAACTATATTTGAATAAATGTAGATTGTTGTACCATACTTAAAAAAAATAACACATTCCCTGAAAATAAGCCCTAGGGTGTCTTCTTGAAGAAAAATAAATATAAAACTCTGTCTTCTTTTTGGGGAAACACGGCATGACCCCCATGCACCAAGTTGATTCCAGTACCTGAAATGTGAAGAAATAACTAACCAAACAGAATAACATTATATCCAAAGTAGATTCTAGGGAAAGCCCTCAGAAGCTCTTAATCTTAAAATTTTATCACAACAATCTTTTTTCAGAGGCCTATTTCTTTCTTTCTGATTCTCAGATCTGTTGGAGACATGATAAATGAACTGTTAGTTAAGGTACAATTAATCCTCATGATTTGTGGATTCCATATTGGAAAACTGGCCCACTCATTAAATTTATTTGTAACCCCCAAATTAACACTCAAGGCTTTCACCTCCTTCCTGGACATATGCAGACTATTAAAAAATTTCAATCACCCAATGCACCTGCTCCTAGCTGAGGTCAAAATGGCAATGTTTTGCGTTCTTGTTTTAGCTCTCACACTATAAATAAGTGTCCTTTTCAAGGTCTACTTAGTGCTATATTCTTCATTCTTGTGTGTTCTCCTTTGGTAATTTTTCTGTTTAAAACAGTCCCCAACTGTAATGCTAAAGTACCGTCTAGTGCACCTAAGCACAAGAAGGGTATGGTGTGCCTTACAGAGAAAACACAGGCATCAAATAAACTTCATTTTGATAGGAGTATATAGTACTGTAGGCTTTGAGTTAAATGAAAATAAATTAAATATACATATTTAATGTATATATGCAATATACTATATACATATATATAGTATTAAAGTGTCTTTAAACAGAAACAAACATAAGACAAGGTTATATACTGATTAGCTGATGAAAATGTTGTAACCAAAGGCTCACAGGAACCTATCCCTGCATTCTCCTAAAAGCAATGGTTCAGTATTTGCTAATTCATCATTCATGGGAACTTCACAGAATGTAACTACTATGAATAACTGGAATCAACTGTACATGAAACCAGAATACTTGTCACAGTTTTAGGGCAGCAAAGTAGCTACCACATGCATCCTAATCCTTACAATTACCATATAACCATGAAAAGAATTCTGAAGAACTCAAAACAAATATGGAGAAATACAAACAGGTCCTAACATTTTATGAAATAAGGTTTCTCCTTTTTCCAAACTAAATAGAATTAGTTTGTATATCATGAGTACCCTCTTAAGTAGGTCAGGGAGCAGCTTATTATTAGAATAAACTAAAAAAGTGAATAATTTTTTGTCTGCCATATTATCGGCACAATTATTTTCTCAGCAATATCTGTCAATAATATTGTCACTTTACATAAAGTACATTACAATACAGAAAGTGTTTTTGCAAACATTCTTATTTCATCCTTATAAGTGCAATTTGCATTTTGGGTACTGTATTTTTCATTTTTATTTTGTTTTTTTTTAAATAATTTCCAGTTCTCTGCCATAATTTTCAATATTAATTTTCATTTCTTTTCCCTTTAACATAGTAAGAGCATTTATTTTAAAACTTGTATCTAAAACCCCCATTATCTGTAAGCCCTGCTATATTTGACAGATACCAAATATGAAAAACTAAAAATAATTAGATGCCTAGGATACTAGCTTCCTACAGAAGAAATATATCTTCTGTTGCAGGGTCTGTGCCATTCAGAATATTACCAATTCTCGATTATTTTAATTCAGTTTCAAGGACTAAGATAATATGAAACTGGGCTTTATTTTATTTTATTTTATTTTATTTTAAAATCAAGTCTTACTTTGTTGCCCGGGCTAGAGTGCCGTGGCATCAGCCTCACTCACAGCAACCTCAAACTCCTAAGCTCAAGCAATCCTCTCTCCCTCAGACTCCAGAGTAGCTGGGACTAGAGGCATGCACCACCATGCCCGGCTAATTTCTTTCTATATATTTTTTAGTTGGCCAATTAATTTATATTTATAGTAGAGACCAGGTCTCGCTCTTGCTCAGAGCTGGTTTCAAACTCCTGACCTTGAGCAATTCGCCCACCTCGGCCTCCCAGAGTGCTAGGATTACAGGCGTGAGCCACTGCGCCCAGCCCGAAACTGGGGCTTTAATCCCTATGAAGGCCAGACTATTTCTGGCTCACCCTCACACCTCTTCATGGTCCTAACCCAGAGCAGGAGGAGTCTACCACCTACTACACTCCAGGTTCCAGCTTCTAATCTTTATCTCCCTGGCCCCAAAAGTTTGTTTAGCAAAACAGCAAAAGTGCTGTTTAGCTTCTCAACCTCTTACCACTCCTTTATGAATTGAGATACTTGGTGGAAATGTGGTACCAAAAGTGGTTCTCCTCTCTGGATTTCCATAGAGGGATTCCCATTCTGAATCCATCTTTGGATTCAGTCTCCTGAATCTTGGCTCCATCACTTTTTACTACTTTGTTTTCAATTCACTACCTTCAAAAATATTTTTTGTTATTTTTGTTTTTTTTTCCTGTTCATTCTCCCCCGCCCCCTACATTTCATTACTATATCATCTTTTCTTTTTGCCCTTAGTGGGAAGGTTGGTCAAAATTGATTTTTATTATATTTTATTTGGTTCTTTTTCAAATCTGCTAGATCACTTTGTAGTCTCTTAATCTTTGCAGATATCTTTTATTTCCTTAATATAAGTAGTTGACTTAATTTCAGTATCTTCTAGTGATTTTAATTTCAGTATCTAAAATTTTCTGTGGGTTTCCACTGTCTATTGTTTCTGCTAATTCTTAATTTATCTTGTTTCCTGGTATGTTTAGTTGTCTCTGAGTGTATGCCACTCACTTTGCTTGAATAATGATTTGTGGAGACTACATGAGGCCTATGAATGAAGGCAACTATCTCCAGAGAAGATCTGCATTTGCTTCTGCTGAGAATCTTAAGAGCACTATTCATCCACAATCACTTTAAACTAAAGTCATACCTAGAAGTTTCATAGATAGCCAGGTATTGAGCATTTGAATACCCAATGTGAACAAAGAAAGACCAACACACAGCTTTAACTTCTCAGGGATGGGTTTTCTTCTCCAGTTTCCCTTCCCCTACTCAGTGCCAATGCAACTCTCCCCACAGTCCCTTGGAAGTGGGGATTTCTTCTGTTTCATCATTATCCTGATAATGAATTGCTTTAGGGTCTCAGCTTTCATAAGCTTTATGTACATGTGTGTATTTTTTTAAAAATTTCAGTCTTTTTATGAACTTTTAGATCAAGAATTAGAAATAAGTATTACAGCTCACAACCATTACAAGTGCAAGACTCTTTGCTACATATCTGTATATTAAAACTATACCTATTCTTCCCAACATGGCAGTTTCTCATAAAACTAAGTAAAAAAAAAAAATTGCAATTGCTTTCAATTATTTTCTTTTTTTTGACCAGAATGTTGTCAAAAATTCTGGTCAGAATGAGATTGGCCACATGGAATTCCAGTTACATTTGGGTCATAATTACACTAAAGAAAAATGGATTTCATGTTATTATTTCCAGGATAAATTAGGTCTTCTTAAACTTTAAAAACTTCAGATAATGTCTACTCTAGTTCTTATCACATTAAGTGTTAATTGATTCAGGGTATTTCTTGGCTCACCAAAAGGAGAGACAATATTTAATTCACTGCTGTATTCCTAATATCTATAGTTTAGCATCCCATGGGTACTTATTAAATAATTTCTGAATGACTGAATAAGCAAACAAGTAAAAAAGAAATTAATAAAATCTAATGTCTTCAAAATATAGTCCAACCAATAAACCATATTAAGTTTATTTTCCCTACAAGGCAATCATTGATCCAAAGTTCAATTTACTAACATTTCCTTAAACATTCACAGAATGAACTGAGTATAAATGGAACAGAGGTCATAACCTCTACTCACATCAGAACAACAGACCCTAATCAGTTCTTCTTAGTTAACATTTTCCTTATAAAGTATCAAGAAATTTAGTTTTAAATTTAAATCATTAGTATTCCAGAAAAAATATAAGTCAGATTTTAAATGTTTCCGTAGACAGAAGTCTATGTTTCATCAAATCCCACAATGCATTTGCCTATGAAATAAAAATTATTCCAAAATTTAAACAAAAAAAGAAGAAATAAAAATTTACCTCACAATCTCACAGACTGAATATTAAAATATTAGATTCCAGATAAATGATATCAGCTAAATAAGTGCCAATTTAAATGATGACTTCTAAACAGTATCAGGGGCTACATATAATCTTACCTGGGGAGGATAGTTGCTCTCTGAAGACCATCTTGAAGACTGGTCATTTGGTTTATCCACTAAAATGTTTCTGAAATAAAGAAAAGGAAATTGTAGCAATTAATTAAAAGAATAAGTGAACATGAATAGGTAAAAGAGGAATAGCCTACCAGATGCTAAAATTATGAAGTTACAGAATGTTTGGAACTTGAATAAGAATAGGAAATAAAACAGAAGCATCAACACAGAAAGCCTCTAGTATATATAAAATTTTGAAATGTGATCAAGGTGGCATTTCCAACAATGGAGAAAAGCAAATATTTTCATAAGGCAACTTGTTGTTAAAAAAAAGTTCTACTTCCCATTAAGTGACAAAATGAACTTTAGATATATATATTTAAGAATTTAAGGTAAAAACAAAGCAATAAAATACCACAAATATATACATATGTATTATAGTGTATACATTTATACTATACTGCCACATTCCATACACATATAAATTATACATGCATTATATATAACATAAAACATACGTAAAACATATAATATATACGTAAAGTCAATCTTTGAAGCAAGATAGCCTTTTAAGCATACCATGAAAAGCAGAACTATGGGTGAAAAAAGGAACTGACATAAGTAACTTTAGAAGATGGAGATTTCACCAGAACTATAAGGCTTAAGACAAATAGAACTGTACATAAACACCACTTTATTTGGTAAAGTTGTTTTTCGCAGGGATATGGGTTAATTCTGAAACACGTTACATGTATATTGGGGTAGAACAAATAAGTAAACGAATAAGTAGATGTGAGAGCCTGGTGTCTCACTTTTGTAGTGGGAAGATACAGATAAGCAAGAGAAGGGAGGTCAGAATGAACCCTGTGGTACTAGAGTCAGAGACATCAATGTGAAATAATATATATTTCACTTAATGTGAAATATATTTTATATATTAATATAGCTATAGATAGATAAAGAAACAGTATAGGCCAGATGTGGTGGCTCACATTTGTAATCCTAGCACTTTGGGAAGCTCCTAGTTATCTGGGAGGCTGAGGCAGGAAGATTGCTTGAGCCCAAGAGTTGGAGATTGCAGTAAGCTATGATCATGCTATTGCACTTCATCCTGGGCAACAATGCAACACTCAGTCTCAAAAAAAAAAAAAAAATAGAATTATAGATGTGTGTGTACACACAGACACAAATAGTATTTTCTTGCTCTCTCCACTGAGGTGGACTGGAAGCAGTGACAGCCACAGATATGAGCACACCCAGCACCCTGATCTCTGTGTCTACATACCAAAAAGCAAGCAGGAATTCTTGGAGAAATGGCTGATTCTAGGGCTGGGGAAAGGAATACAGAAGATAAACCTGAGCATCTTATACCAGAAAGAAAGAAGTGCTGGGGAGGGAGGGAATAAGGTGGGGGAAGTCAAGCCAAAAGGACACAGAGAAGCCAACCTGAAGCAATGGAAGAAAGACTGGCCAAAGTTGAAAAAATTTAAGCAACAAAATATCCATAAGTCCATATTGGTATAAATAACCCCAGTCTACCCACGAGAAAAACATCAGAGGAATCCAAATAGAGGAACATTTAACAAAAATATGAACAATACTCCAAACTCTCAATATAATAAAAAAACAATGAAAGACTGAGAAACTGCCATAGATCAGAGAAGAGTAAGTAACATGACAACTAAATATTATATGGAATATAATTCTAAATTTCACACTAAATATAACGTGGAATCATGGATGAAATCCTGAGTCAGAGACAGAATAGCTGTAGGAAAACAAGTGAAATCCAAATAAAATGTGGAATTAATAGTAATGTAGCAATGTTGATATCTTAGTTGTGACAAATGTGCCATGGTAACATAAGATGTTAGCAATATGGGAAACTGAGTAAGGGGCATATAATATAACTCTTTACTATCTCTGCAACTTTTCTATAAATCTAGAATTATTTTGAAATAAAAAAGTATATTTAAAAAAATTAAATCTATACTTGGCAAAATACCTAATAAATGAGTAAATTATAGATTTCTTTATACTATCACAAATAATAGATTTTTATCACAAGTATATGAATGAATGAATTTTTTTAAGCAGACTATAAGAAAAAGAACGGCCTGTATGCATACATTCTGCAAAGGTAAATAATTAAAAACCTCAAAGCAAATTAAAAGGTAAACAACCCACTAGAATAAAGGCAACATAAAATACAAAGGGTCAATTACAATTTGAATATTTAAAGAACACTTATGTATAAACACTCCATATAAGAATAAGTAAAACTGAAACATTCAAAATCAACAGTAACTAAAAATTGGAAATTAAGACAAATATATATTACCCTTATAAAACTGGGCCCACACCCTCAATAAAAATCCACATTTTAAAATTATAATATATTAACAATATCAGTTGTTGGCCAGAGCTAGTAAAATAGTACTCTCATGTTTTGCTACTAGGAATGTAAATTATTAGGTCATTAAATATGAATTGTCCAATTTCGAATCAAAAGAATAGTTTACTATATCTCAAACAAGAAACAGTACAATTAATCAAAATAAGTTCCTTAATTATTGACATAGTTTTGCCATCTTAACAATAGCTTGTTTATGCTAGCAGAGAAGCCTGGAGAGTGAGTGCGCGAGTGGCAATGAAATCTCGAAAACACTTTCCACAGCTTGTTGAGAATTCATTATTTTTCCTTACAAGAAGTGGTCCAAAGCGTAGAAGAAGTCGTAGTCAGTTGGTGCAAGGTGTGGTGAATATGGTGAATGACAGAGAGTTTTCAAGTCTATCTTCTGTAGTTTGAGCAGCAGTTTGTGTAACATGTGGTCGAGTGTTGTCTTGCAAAAGGATTGGCCTGTCTCAACCAATCTCAGCTGCTTGATCGCAAGCATCCTAAACATTGATTGACGAGGTTTCATGAAGCTATAGATGGATAATACTAGCATGGGACCACCAAACAAACACCATTAGCTGTTTCTGATGAGTATTCGGTTTTGGACTGTGTTCTGGCACTTCATCTTTAACCAACCATTGTGCCAAACGGTTGAGATTGTCAAAAAGACTCCATTTGTCATCCAATGTAACAATACAGGGTAGAAATGGTTCACCTTTATGTCATGACATAAAGAAAGGCAAGCTTCAAGACGATTTCTCTTCTGAGGCTCCTTTAATTCATGCAGAACCCATCTATCCAGCTTCTTTACCTAGTTGATTTGTTTCAAATGGTCCAATACTGTTGGAATGGTAACATCAAACCTTGCTACTAATTCATGCATAGGTTGAGATAGATTCGCTTCCACTACAGCTTTCAGCTTCTCATTATCAACCTTAGACTCAGGTCACCCACATGGCTCATTTTCAAGATTAACATCATCAGAACAGAACTTCTCAAACCATCGACATACTGTGCATTCATTAGCCACATCCTTCCTAAACACTTCGCTAATACTTCAAGCTGTCTGGGCTGCACTGGTTCTGTGACCAAACTCATATTCGAAAATAATACGCATTTTTGACTTACCCATGATTTGACAAAAATTGCTCTTAAAAAAATGTGAAAGATAATCACAAGGCAAAACATGCATTTGAAAGATTGACGATGTACCTTCACAATAAAAATAAAACAGAAAGTGTCAAAGTGAAGTCAGAGATATCAATTTTAGTACTTAAGAAAATCGGACATTTCATACTTAATAACCTAATACAATTTTTCAAAAGAAAATTTTAATATATCAAAAACATTCCAAATATGCATATCCTTTAAATAAAAATGATGACAATAATGACAACAACCATGACAATAACAATGTGTCCGAGTCCCAGACACTGTTCTAAGTGTTTTTCATGTATAAACTGTTATCTTCAAAGTATATGGATTAACAAATTGAGACAGAGAGATAAATTAATTTGCCTAAACATACACACTTAAGATTTGAACCCAAGGCAATCTGACTACAAAGTCCATGCTCTTGATCACCATTCAATATAGCCTCAGAATTATTCTAGTGCTTAGAACTTTACCTGAAAAATAATCTAGGGAACATAAGTCATCTACATTCATCAAAGCACAATTTATAAATTACAGATACTATGTAATCATTATATACTCTACAGCCTAACTTTAATGTCACAGGAAAATCTTCACTACACAATAAGTAAAAGGGAAAAGTAGTTAATAGCATGTATGTGAAGAATTAAGTGTTGTAAGTAATATAAAATTCACACACAGGAAGAAAAGACAAAGAACACATACTAAGTTGTTAATATAGTTATCAAGGGTGAAATTACAAGTGATTTTTTTCTTTGTGCCTTTTTGCATTTTTTTTCAAATTTTCTAAATTAACACATATTCCTTTCATAATAAGAAAAATAGATTATTCCCAAGCATAAGTTATAAAACACAGAATGAAGATATGAAATATGTTTGAAAAGCTAAAGAACAGGATTTTTTTTAAAAAATCAGAAATATGAATGTTATAAAACAGGAAAAAAGACTAATACATTTTAACTGTAAATGTATCATTATACATTATGATAAAGTGGAACAACAAAAATCACAAAGTATAATAAATCTGGGGAGAGGAAGGTAAGATGTCATGTAAGTTCGTTAGTTCCTTTATCTTTCACAGTTCCTAGAAAGGAATAATGTTTCTAAAGCTGATAAGATGAAAAAAGATGTTTAAGAGTACTATTTAAAGTTTAAAATTAAACAAAGATAGAAATAAAAACATATTACATACCTTCTAAATTACTTGAGACAGAAAATCAACAACAAAAAAACATATAGCAAAAGCAGGAAATAACAGATTATATAAATGCAGGAAACATTAAAAACAAAAAATTTAAAATAAAATGGTAATATTAACACCAAGCATCAATACAGCCATACATATAAGTCACCTAAAATAACACAGTAAAATATCCTTTGCATTGGGTGAATGAGTAGACCCATTAAAATCTACAGAAAGGCACACATACAATAACAAGGGGACTCACAACAGATAAAAGATATATAAGACAAATGCAAACTTTGTAAAATTAGGGGAAATATAAGGCAAAAAGTATTAA